TTATAATTTGTGTATATTATTTAAATTGGCAAATCATTAGTCAAAAGATATAACACTTAGGAAAAATTTTACTTTTCATAAAAACTTATGTGATAATCGTTTATTTTTATTGATAATCGATTATCAGTGTTGGTGAACGATTATCACAGTGACAAAATGTTTTTTGAGGTTTATGAGATAATGAATTATCATTTGAGATAATTGATTATCAGTAGCAATTGCGATTAGACTCTTCAATGTCTTGACTTAATTTTTAATAGAGAGATTTTATATGTTTTAACTAAACTTAGTTTCCAAAATAACTTTTCATTTATAGGTTTAGAGTTGTGATTGCTAGAAAAACTCTTTGTGTTTGTGAAAAATGACTTTGAAAAACCTAGTGTGGGTAGAGCAAGAACTTTCATTGAGTGTGTCTTAAGTGATTGAGTGTTGCTACTCTTGCTAGGAGAAACTGTTCATATTCAAAGGAGGTGTTTATCCCTTGTGGATCTCATGGGAGGTGTCTTTCATCTCTTGTGCCTTGAAGATAGGTGTTTTCTAAACCTAAAATATATTTCTTTATGATTGTAAGTAGTGGTTATTTTAGTGATTAATTAATGCTTTTTTAGAGAGATTAACAACTTAGGCGTAAGGTCTTTTGATATGAACTAATATAAAATTATTTATGTAAATCTCTTTTTCCAAGGGAAATTTTTTTAAAAGCACGATTTTATTAAAGAAACCAATTAATCGCTCTTGGTTTTGTCCATATACAAATATTCCATTGTGTGATTCTAATAATTGGTATTAGAGCTTGGTAGTTTTTCAAAATCTTTGAAAATGGTTGGATAAAACAAACCTTTGTCTAGAGCGCGTTTATTAATAGACCTCTTCTTTTTATTGGAGAAAATTATGATGATGTAAATATTTTTGGAGTATGTAGATAGAAGTGTTTGTGATGCTCTTTTAAATGGATTTTATTTGCCTACTATAATTGTTAATTACTTGCAGGAACTAAATCCCCTTTCACAATGAACTCGAAGAAACTAAAAGGGCACGGTATGATGTTAGGGCAAAATATTTTATTTCATCTCCTTTAAACTTGGATGAGTTTTATAAGATATCGATATGTAAAAGTGCTCAAGAAATGTGAGAAGTTTTATAGGTAACCTATGAAGGCACAAATGATGTCAACTATGCTTGAAGAAACTCGTTGATTCAAGAATACTAGATGTTCTGGATGCAAAAGGGAGAAATAATCTATGGCGTGTAGAAGCGCTTCACACATATTGTCAATTGTCTTTTTGGGTTAAGTAAAAATTTTGATACTATTGAAATTAATATAAAAGTTTTGAAATTTTTGAACAGGTCATGACAACCAAAGGTTAACCTAGCAACTATGCCAATCAAGACTCTCTCTTGAAAGTTAAGAGCGCATAAACTTGAACTAGGGTGGATGAATGAAGAAGAAAACCAAGGAAGGAAAAATAACTTGACTATCAAGTTTGAAGTTATAAAGAATAAAAGTCCTAAGAAGGATGAAAACTCAAATGATGAAAACCTAAGTCTAATGATAAAAAAGTTCAACAAGTTCATGAAGTTCAAAGGAAATGGACAATTTAGAAGTGATAAAAAAGAGAACCAATGATATTCTTCAAACTACAAATGCTATGGATGTGGAGAAAGAGAACATATTAAGGCAGATTGTTCAAATTTCAAAAAGGATGAATAGAAGAAGGAAAAAAAATATTCAAGAATAAAAAAACTTATATTACTTGAGAGGATAACAATTCAAGTTCCTCAAACTCAAGCGCTCGGATGAGCAAGCACACTTCTACTTAATGGCTAACAATGAATCCTATGGAAGACAAGTATTGTTTTTAGTTTTCATAATGATCATGAAGAAACAATTACTTCATGAATCATAAAAATTGGATATTGCCCATAAGAAACTAAAAAAGATCTAGAAACTCAAATGTTGTCATATGTTTTCATTATATAAAAAAGGATCATACATCAAACAAATATAATATTAAACATTTTGATGTTTCTAATGAAATATATGGTTGAATTCCTATTATAAAGTAACATGTCTCTAACTCCAAAAGATCCAAATAAGGTTTTGGGCACCAAAATTTTTTTATGTTTTGCAGGTTTTTTTTAAATCAAGTAAGTCTCTTTAGATATTCAAGATTTGATATCAATGGAATTTAGAAATGTTTATTTTTATTAAATTAAATTGTTTAGGAAGAGATCTTTAATCATCATATCATTCTTTTTTATTATGATAAAAAAAAGAGGTGTTTATTTCTTGTTAATTTAAAGAAAATGTCTCTTCATCTCTTTTGTGATTCAAGAGAGATATTTTCATCTTTTCTAAAACTCAAAAAAATATTTTGTAAACTTAAACTTTATTCTCGACTATTGTAAATTATGATTATTTTTAGTAATTGATTAATTTTCCTTAAAGATATTAACAACTGAACTTAAAATATTTTAATGCTAGAAATTAAAAGAAAGGATTTTAAAAGACACAATTTTATTAAATAAATCAATTCATTTTCTCTTAATTTTTGTTCATATTTGAATAATTCATTACGATATTCTAACAAAATTAAAAATAAGGCTTTCTTGTTTTAAACGAAACATAAATAAATTATAAAACATTGTTTTAAAATATGATTTTTTTTATTAAAATTCGTGTTTTGAAACACGTTCTGAATTACTTTTTCTAAAACTTATATATTTTTGTGAAGTTTTTTATAAGGTTCTCATATACGGTAAAAAGTCCTTTTTCATAGCATATAAATGTGTAACAAACTGATTCTGAAGAAGCTCTACCAAGTACGTATCTTTTCCCATAACGTATTGCAATGTTCTTTTTCTTTTCTATCTCTTTGTGTCAAAGTGCACAGCAATTTTGAAAACACATGCTTTTAAAAAATAACAGAACACAAATTTATGAAATACTAAGAAATACTAACAAATGAATCAAATAAAGCATCAAATAAAATGGTCAAAGCACCAATAAACTCACAAAGCTAACTCAAAAAACAATTGGTTTCAAAAAAAACTGTTTCCAAAATAATTTTTCACCATTCAGCAATCAAATTCTCATCCAAAACAAAAACAGTAGGGAGATTTTTCTCATATACTTCTGTTTCCATCTAGTTCAACAAACCTCTCCCTCAATTCCAGTTTTGTATCTTGCACCACCCTTCACAAGCTATCTATCTGAACAACCTTGCTTAGCTACATTTTGAAAACTAAACAATTTCTGAAAATGTAACTCAAATACACCCGAATTGTTCATATTGATAAAGGATTGATTAGTAGAAACAGTAGAAGAATTCTATACATCTTATTCACCTACAACCACAGATGTTAAATCTACAAAAAGGAGAAGAGATAGGACATGCTCCCTTTTGCTGACTGTGCATGAATCTACTTGCATCAATCGTGCTTTCTTTTGCAGCCTTCTAGTCTGAAAAGTCTGAAGCAAGTGTAAACTAGCACTAGGAATGCAACAAGAAACACTGCAACAAAGAAAGAGTTCAATTTAATCATCATACTATAATACTAAGCGTGCCACCTTAAAAGATTGACATACAAACTAAATGATCACTTGCTTTGTTAGTGGAACTTAGAGAAGTGACTTACCAATTAAGGTGCTAAAGAACAAGATCGCTAGGCGATATCTTACAAACCATGGCAGACTAACTTCAAGGGTGCAATGCTTTTGATTATCATGTCCTGCCTTTTCTCTGTCAAAACTCTCTGATTTTGATGATTGCAATTCCGTCAATGAAACATCAACACCTGTAACCGTGATGCTCTCTTTGTCCCTCACTTTTAACTTGAGAGTCACTGGGTGAGAGTCCCAATCTATTTCAATGGTTCCAAAGTTTGGCTGACCTAATGAAAACCCACATTTGAAACATCAAAAGCATGAAAAACAATATAAATATCCTTACCAAAAATAAGAAGGAAAAGTTTACCATATATACAAGATTTGTATCTGCAGTGTTGGCCCTTTACTCTCATTGTAGATGGGGTCAACAATGCAACAAATCTCACAAAAGAACGTAGGAAAGGTGGGACAACTTCCTCGACTGATTGAGTAACCCCACTTGAGGTTACATCATAAAGTGGATAGCCCACAGCACAATCTTATCTCGTGATTTCCCCAAAGTGCACATCTCCACTGAGAAAAAATACTCCAGCTCTCTGCATAGAAAAGACTAATGAGAAGTGAAATGAGTACTCACTTCACCAACATAATTGGTAACAATGTAAATTCCTTTTAACAACAAAGATGTAAAACAGAAAATAGAAGTAGAATATGAATGTCCTGAAACTTGTTACCTTACTATCAGCTATTAATTTAAATAGCCGGTCTCTTTCCTTTGGAAAACGACCCCATGACTCCATTGCAAACAATGGATGAATGGTTGCCGAAAGATTTGATATAACCTGACATATAGATTAACTATATAATGTAATCACTTCAAGTCAAATTTAGATACACGCTGTCAAAAACACAGGCATAATAGTTGATGATGCAACCAAAATTCAAAGATGCAGATGTCATAAAAAATCATTTGTTTATTATTATGAATAATTTTGAACTATGTCTGGCACTATTAGTAATTGTAGTACCTGAATAGAAGATCCAATTATGGTAAGAGCCGTTGGTGGACCCTTGAGCTCTTTCTCCAACCACAACCACTGTGAATTCCCCAAAATGGTACCATCACTTCCTACAGGGTCTCTGTGATATCTAGTATCTAAGAGTACAATCTGAGAAGTTTTCCACAATCCGCAATAAAAGCAGTATTAGCACAAGATGAGTGCTTAAAAGTCAAAACACGATTTAAAAGCAACTCTCAAGTCTTATTATTGACAAAAACAAAGTTTGCGTTTTAACTTCATGTAAGACATTTAAAATGATCAAGTAATGGCTACCATCCTACCAGGGGACAATAATATAGAAAAAATTGTAGGAATTTGAGAAAGAATATTATATTACATTTGGTCAATACCTTGATATCTCTACCTACAGGACCATACGTATATGAGGCATATACACCAGCCTGTTTCCGCCTGAAATGAGAAGATAGGGTAAGTATGTAAATCAATATCTGCTTCCTATTAAAATTTGTGAATGGGTGAATACATGATCTGCTAGACATGTAATCTTTCCTCTCCATGAAGAAAAAAGAGTTTTCACATGCAATACAACCGTAAGCATCATATAAGAAAACTACCCCAATAATCAAGAGAATGATTCAATAAGTTAGGCAGAACAAATCAAATAACACAAAATGCAAGGTTAAGATCAGTCCAACATAATAATGCATATCCACCTACCGTGGGCTATCTTGAGGTTCATCCAAGAAATCAAGAAGCAACTTCTGGTTGGTGATTTTCCCTTGAAATTCTTTTCCTGCATCATTTAATCCATAATCGTGATCATCCCATGTACCAATAACCTATCAACAAACCAAATGTGAAAGTCAGGCCAAGATACCAATAAACATAGTCACCATTTTAGTAAATCAGCCCACAGGCATTTCAACATTGTGCTTTCAATAACAATCTCAACTAGAAAACAATAACAAATAGAAAATCTTAGAATGAAACACCTTAGCATTCTGATGAAGTCGAATATAGCCAGGACTAGACTTAGCCTTTTCATATCTAGCCTTCATTTCCTGCTCAGAAGAAGGAACAAATCGTGGAACATTCTTCCATGGCCCAACAGTCCTTTCCCGTCCAAATATTTTGAAAGGGCGTTTGGAGTCCCCGTAAATGTTATCACCCAGCCATATAAAAATTTGGGGACGGAAGTCCGCCACTGCATCCCAAATGGGCTGGCAAACACACAGCATACACAAACGTTAATGATCTGACATGAAGAAGTTAACAACACCCAGAAATCGTAGCAATTAGAAGCCTAAATAGTAACAGATATTAGGATTTTAGTCTAAAGCTGTACGATTTGTAAACCCAAACTACAACCAAAAAGAACACTAAAGCTTAGCCCTGTGATTTCTTGAATTTAGTTGCGGCAGATGAAATACAATTTTGTTGGCTTGATTAAGAAATACTATAAAAGACCATACAGTTGCATACTGCCATGTACAGCGTAAAATAAAAAGTTGTCTAGTTTTGGTTCAGCACGAATGATTGATTTTCAGTGGCAGAAGGGTGTGAAATACACCATTTATTGAAGTTGTCTACTGCATAATGAATTTTGAATTCTTCTAAAAATTGGGATAAAACGAAGTTTCAGATGCATCTCACTCTTTCGTGAAAAATTATACATTCCTTATCATCCCCACCAAGAATTCTTACAAACAGGGAACAGGTTCCAGAATCCAAGGAAAATTAATTATAAACAGAAACAGTTGGTTTGTTATTTGTTACATAAAATTAATCAAATTTCTTTTGTTCACAGAAATTTACATAATTGTCGTGGTTGTTATTATTGCTGTTTCTTTTTTTAAGTTGAGTACAAAAGAGCTGCAGTTCGCTTAAAGCTGACGTAATACTGGGACTCCAACAGCATGTTAGTACAAGAATTGAGATATCGTGGTTGGAACAAAGAAACAGAATAACTAGTATATCAGTTCCATTACACGACACTGCAGAATGGGTAAAAATAAAACAAAGAAAAGACAAAACAAGAATAAAAAGTAGAAAAAATAATAAACAAAAAAGCATTACAAAATAGGAAAATTTTTTGAAACCTGAGGAGCGCTCTGGTTGGAGCATGATCCGAAGGCAATTCGGGAGACCACTTGTTCCTGCTTCTCGTGACTGTCGGAACTGGTAACGGTTACTGTAAAGCTGACCATTCCGATAAAAACAACGGCGTTCCACCACCGGCTCCGCCGCAGACGTTGATCGATACCCATTTGCGCAAAAACCACGACTTCGAATTCAGTTCTTTCTCAGAGATCATAAAAAGGGAACTTTCTCACAATTTGAGACCAATGGCAGACACAAAATGAAACTTTCGGTTCTTATATAACCAATTTATTTTCTCTTTTTTATATACACTTTCCAATAAAAAAAAAAACACAGCATTGAATGAAACAATTTTCAAATTTGGAAATAAATATACGTAATTTTTATGAGACAAAAACATCTTTTTTTTCTGCAAGAGATTGTCGCAAAGTCACTTTTTTACTTAATCTTTTCTAGACAATTATTTTTTTCGGAAGAGGTAGTCATAAAGTCACCTTTTTTCTGTAAAATTAATACTATTAGATTGGAAATAGTTAAGTTTATTCTTACTATATTTATTGGTACCAAATATCTTTTAAAATTTATCACTAACCTTTATAAAAAATCTAAAGTAAAATCTTCTCACTTTAAAACTCTTTTTAATCGGTTAAACTTAAAATTAGAACTTCATTTCAAAATTAAAATTTAACTTTACTCACACTAATGCTATAATCTAAAAATGATTAAGCATCAATATTAAAAAAATGTCCATAATTTTGAACTTTTGATTTAATGTAATAACCACATCTTACATGTATAATATTATTTCGTTTAATCATATATTGTTAGCATGATAAATGCATTAAATTTAGAATGATTATTTCAAAAGCCCTGATTTGGACGATTTTTTATTGACTCAAAGGATCAAACTTAAACTATTTTTAATTGTGGTTTATAAGTACTCAAATATACTAACCAACAGATTATTTATATGAATAGAAGATTTTATATTAATTAAAATATAAGATTCAGGTAAAAGACCTGCTTTATATTTATGATATAGTTTTAAAAAAGTTATTGATAATATGTAAGTGGTGTGTGGTAAAAGAAGAGAAGAAAATGCATGATCATCGTTGTAGAAAGTGATATATATAGAGAGTAAGAAGATAAAAGAAAATATAAACATAAAATGTAGAAAAGAAATATGCAATATTTATAATATTAAGGTATATCCATTGGAAAAATGGAATTCATGAAGAAAATTGTAATTAGCCAATTCAATTTCATTGACATTTGACAAAGCCTTTAGTACCATCACCATGTCTGTTTGTCCACAGAACAGTGAAGCAACTTTATTTGCCACACTGATTAATTGATGATGATGATGATGGAGTCTGCGTTGACTGTAGTTGACCACTGACCAAACATGGAACCCATTTATCCTATGTCGTCCAAAAGCATTCCTCAAAGGCAAGAAATCTGAACTTGTGCATTGAAACAAATCCAATGTTATCACTTTCAACAGTAACATCGCCCAAAATTAGCTTTCCACGCACAATTGCATAATCTCTATCCTCTCTCTAGCTAAATAGAATAGTTCATTCTAAATTGAGGTCATTCTTTTCTTCATCTGCTTTTTACTGATTGAGTTTTGTTTTTTTTTTTTTGTTTTTTTCCTGAATTATTTGTATAGAAGGCACCCTGAATTTATATTTAAACAGTTGAAAAAAAGTTTAGAATCTTTATATAATAATTTTGGACTAGATTATGTTTAAATAATCCATTTGATCATTCGTTCGTGCACGTTCTATTCAAGATGAAACATCTTTTACTGTATAAATGGATATTCGTTAAGAGTGACAATTTTGGCAAGAATCAGATACAATAATGTTATAGATTTTTAGAGGCTAAATAACAGGTGATATTCATTAAAATTAACGTAACACGTTAATATGAATTAGATAATGATTCATGACATGCATGGCTTTGGAAAATAGTGAGCACTTTGGCAATGAGAATGAGAGTCTCCGCTTTTATACACGGAAAAAACTTGTTTGCGTGGAATTAATTACGTTTGTTCAAGTAACTTTTGCAACTCTTCACTGATCAATGATAGCAAAACGAGAAGGATTTCATGGCACCCAGTTGAATAATGATAGTTTCACAGTTATAAACTTGGATGGCACGACCATTAGATCAAGGTTTATTTGTAATACAAATTTCTTCTTATATTATCGAAATAAAATTTTAAGTTTGATTGACAAACAACATTCACTCACCAATGTAAGAATGGGTTTTAGCCCTAGTTATTTAAGATATTGTATACTGTGCATTAGTTCAACAATCTAGACATATGTAGACAACATAAAAAAAAGTAATTTTTTATCTCAATTATAAATTGAAGTATAAATTTTAGTATTAGACATCGATTCAATAAGAACCAAAACATAACACCATTAATAATAGAAAAATATATAAAAAGAAAGGATTATGCTTTGGTTTTTTAATAACCAAAGCTTAACTCTTTTCATATAAAAATTATTTAATTTAAAAGGCATATAATGATTGGATTTTCTAGATAATCGAAACCCAATATCTTTAAAATAAAATAATTTATTTAAATAAAAAATGATTAAGCTTCGGGTTTTACTATAATTAAAGTCTAACACTCTTTAAATTAAATAATTTTAGATAAAAAGGTATTGGGATTCGGTTTTTAACGAACCCAAAGTCTAGTATCCCATTTATGCTTTGATTTTGGTAATTATCGAAGTCTATTTTATGTGTTTTTTTTTCAAATGATTTTATTGTTTTTGTTTCTGCTTACACATCAAACTTGGACAAAATTACAATCAGTCCGATACAACAATATAAAATTAGACAAAACCAAAATATATTATAAATGATACCTAAAATCAGTAGGATACAACAATATTGTAAATTTTTAAATGAATCACAATTGGACATTTTTGTTAAATATTCTAGAAATAACATGTTGTTAATACTATTGTACATTTGTATTATATATTTTGTATAAGATATTCTTAAATACTTAATGGACTTGTCAAGAATTAGTGTAGTATTCTTGATTTATGCATAAAAGACAATAGTTTCAATTAGTATATAAACAAACAAAGTTGCAAAGTATTTGACTCAATGCAATTATTATCGTTTTCCAACTAGCTATAATACGAGCATAAACAACGATTGTCATCTATTGCATTACATAGTGATCGTATTCATATGTGTCAATTTGTTTATAACTACTACAATATATTAACACAATTATAAATAATTGGAAGAAAAAGAATCAAATAATTATAAATATATGAACCAAAATACTAACTTTGAGGGGCAATCATGCAAGCTTTTTTATCTTAGTAGTTGATTTCCTTAACCCAAACATGCTATGTCCCAACAAATTGACACTATAGATAGAAGAAAATCTTATTGGGTTTTAGGGAATTTCCTCTTGATTTAGGGTTACATGGAAAAGCAAATTTTATGCTTTAAAAAAAAACAAGTCGTATACATGGTGGGGGTAGGTTTAGGGGTTTATGGTTAAGGGTTTAAGTTTAAGGTTAGGGTTTTTAAAGTTTAAGGTTTTAGGGTTAAGGAGATTTTAGAGTTTAGGATTTAGAGTGTGGGTTTGGGGTTTGGGGTTTGTTTGGGTTGGTTTGGGTTGGGGTTTGGGGTTGGGGTTGGTTGGGTTTGGGTTGGGGTTGGTTGTTTGGGGTTTGGGTTTAGGGTTTGGGGTTTGAGGGTTTAGGGTTTAGAGTTTAGGATTTAGGATTTGGGGTTTGGGTTTGGGGTTGGGTTGGGTTAGTTTTGGGTTGTTGGTGTTTGGGTTGGGTTTGGGGTTTGGGCTTTGGGGCTTGTTGGGGATTATGGATTAGGGTTTAGCGTTTGAGGGTTTAGAGTTAGTATTTAGATGTTTAGGGTTTAGTGGTTTAAGGGTTTAGAGTTTCGGGTTTAGGGTTACTGGTTTAATGTGTGTGTTATGGTTTAGTGGTTTAGGTTTAGGGTTTAGTGTCTAGTTTTAAGAATGGCTTAAGTTGGTTTTAGTGATTTAGGGAGTTTGGTTTTAGGATTTTGGTGGGTTGGTTTGGGGTTTTGGGTGGTTTGGGGTGGGTTTTGTGTGTGAGTTTGTGGGAGTTTGGGTTGGGGGTTGGGGCAGGTAGGGAGGGGGGGTTGGTGGGGTGGGGGGGGGGTTGGGGGGTTTGGGTTTTTGGGATTATGCATGGGTTTTGTTAGCTTTTAGCGGTTAGGGTTTAGGGTTTATAGTTTTAGTGTCTTATTGGTTAGCTGGTTTAGGTTTGGGTTTGTTTTATTTATGTTTGGTGTTTGATTATGGTAGGTTTAGGGTTTTTTAGAGGTTTATGGTTTAGGTTTCAGGTTCGAACGTAGGGGGTTCAGTTTTTTTTTGGGTTTTTAAGTTCAGGTTCGGTTCAGGGTCAGGGTTTCAAGGTTTTGGGATTTAGGGTTTTGGGTTTTGCGTTTTTGGTTTTCAGTTTTGTAAGGTTTTAAAGGTTTAGGGTTTTTTATTTAAAGTTTAAGGTTTATGATTTAGCGTTTAGAGGTTTAGGGTTTAAGGTTTATGGGTTCAGGCGGGGTTCAGGTTCAGGTTCATGGATTAGGGTTCAGGGTCAGGGTTCAAGAGGTTTAAGGGTCTAGGATCGGGTTTTGGGTTTAGGGTTTAGGGTTTAGGGTTTATTGGTTTAGGGTTTTGGTTAGGTTTAGGGTTTAAGGTTTAGAGGTTTATTGTTTAAGGGTTTGGGTTTTGGGTTTTGGTTTTTGGTTGTTTGTTAAGGGTTTTGTTTAGGGATTATGTGTTTATGGTTAGGTTTATCGTTTAGGGTTAAGGGTTTATGGATTATGTGTTTATGGTTTAGTTTAGGTTTCGGTTTTAGGGTTCAGTTCGGGTTGGGGTTAGGATTTAGGATCGGGTTTTGGGTTTGGGTTTTGGATTTAGGGTTTATAGTTAAGGTTTATAGAGTTTTGGGTTGGGTTATATTTTAAAGGGTTTAGTTATGTTAGGTGTTTAGTTAGGTTGTAGGTTTATTTAGGGTTATGGTTTATGTTTAAGGGTTTTTAGGGTTTTGAGGTTTAGTTGTTTTATTGTTTAGTTTTTAATGGTTAAGGTTTGTGTTTTCTTGTTTTGTTATGGGTGTTTTTCTTTTAGTGGGGTGTATTGTTATTTTTATGTTAGGGTGGTTTGGGTTTTTTTGGGTTTTTGTTGGGCTTAGGTTAGGGTTTAGGTTCTCGTGTTGGTGGTTTTGTAGTGTTTAGGTCTTTTTTAGGGTTTTTTTTTT